TTCCCGCTTGAATTTTGAAGACTGCCGCAAAAGCAGCGATGCCCTGGCTTAGGGGGACGGCAGTGGACCCGTGGTTGTCCGCCACGAGCATCATGCAAGATCCTCAGACAGAGTCAACACTTCGCCGAAAAGCAGCACCGGAACGGCTGAAGATTTGTGCAGGTCACCCATCACCACGACCATGGTGTTGATGGTCATCACCATCACCATCAGGATCAGGCGGACTCTGGCAAGCGCCCTAGCAAAGTGAGACTGCGACTGCACCATGCGATTCAGGGTGTCCCACCTCCCTCGCACACAAGTCCCGGTCTCTCACAAGACTTTTCAAGGTCGTGGAATGTCGTACTCGGAGCACGAGGCTGCCAAGCCGCGGAAGCATTCGTTGTTGTCTTAGCTGCTGGGCCTGTTTCTGCCTCAACGTGACATTCCCAGGAAACCGTGACGCACACGGGAGCCCATGGCCAGGGCAGTCCTGGCTGTTTCGGGTTTTTCGGAAGTACTGCAATTACTAGAGAGATCTTAGCAGGCTTCTGCCGAGCGGTGGTTGACATTCCGTCTGCTTTTTGCTTTCTGCCAGGTGACGGCGGCCATGTTACAGTGCTGGCCTCTGGACATGTTGCGTCATAATAGTCACTACCGCTATCACACTTCTCGATGTCCGCGGACGCCCTAGAGCCATGCCAACATGTGCTCAGGTGCGACATCACATCATCTCGCATCAAGTACAGAACGAGCCGCAGCTCGGCCTTGATTCAAAATGTTGCTGACCTTTGCCTCTTGTCTCCACGACTTTTCGCGACAGTCACCGGCAACGCTATGTGCCGCCAGCCGAACCACCGGTGGGGCCCCTGGCAAGTGAAGACATCAGATGAAGACAAGGAGGTGTTGGCGAGAGTCCCAGACGCCCAGGACGACTTACGCCTCTTAGACGAGCCACAGGCCCTGGCGAGTAGTTAGTGCCGAGCGAGGCTTTTGTGCTGGGCGGAGCTCAGTATAGAACGTGCATGAAGCCAGACGTGACGGTAACCAGACTTTCGCCCTCAGCCAGCCTTCCAAAATTGATAGCAGTGTAAAGTTCAGCTGATCAGCAGCGCAGGTCGAGCCCTTGCAGCCAAAGATCATCGCTGGCGGCCTTCTTGCCATCTTTGCTCAGGCAACGCATGGTGAGACCAATAATTGTGACCTTTGCGTGTCGTGGACATGGACGTTGCGCGGTGCCCATTTTGGACCATCCGCAGTTGTCAGTTTTGTGGTGATTGCCAAACAGTGAGGGTTTGTTACAAGACCAACAACCGGCATCCCCTCTGGCGAAGATGACTTCCAGACTCAAAAGCCGTGTGACTTGCGTTGAAAGGTTTATCTCTGGGGCAACGTTTTCGTCACCTTGTTCAAGCCCAACCGTGCTCCGGCGCAGCCAGGCCAGGTGGTTCAGGGCTCAGAAGATCAGGGGCTCTGCGTGTCGCGTCACAGGAGCCCCTGCACCTCCGGGTCCTGCGGCGGGTCCTCCAGCTCCTGGTTCTGGCCTCGGGGCTCTCAGCAAAGATCAGCGGTCCCAGAGATTCCCTGAGCCCAGCACGGCTGAGGTGCTCCGGCGCCGGCTCCCGAGGAGTCCGCTGCGCCTGCGCCGCTAGTGTCCCCCGGCGACCCAAAGCAAGAAGTGGGTAGCTATGCCGTTGGAGGCCGTGAAAGGTCAAGCGGTTTCAGGAATGCATGTGGCTGTTACTGTGGTTGTGGCTCGAGGCGACTGTTTTGAAACTGATTTTTTGGCATCAACATTACAGTATCATTTGACGACATTGGGCTCATCATCATCATCGTCGTCATCATCATCATCGTCCTCATCATCATCATCATCATCATCGTCATCATCATCAACAACATCAACACACCCTTCTGCAACAGATCCGCAGACATCCGTTACCACGATTCATACGATAATCGTCATCTAGATTCAAGAAGGCTACCCGATTCAAGGAGCGTGGCACCAGAACCACCAACATCAAGAACACAGCTTGACCATCGCCATGCGGAAGACCTCATGAAGACAACATGAACATGACATTCACCCTGAGAAAGACCGCATGAAGACAATATGCACACCACCACCATAAGGAAGACCGCCACCATAAAGACCCCGCGCGGGACCGGACGTCGTTAGACCATTAACACCCACCCCTGCTCCCCACCCCAACAGGACAGAAGCGAAAAGTAAGCGCAGTTATCCTGTCTCAGCCTCGGGATTACAGAGGTAATACCCGTGACTGAGTACCGACAACAACGCACCGCACGCCACCCGNNCCCCCCCCCCCCCCCCCCACCCTCCACCCACCCGTAATCCCAACAGAACGGAAGCGAAAAGTAGGTGCAATTATCGTCTAAGAACATCTTTTGGGAACAGGACGTTATCACGGTTCCGGCATGGATCATTGGGAAGGAGTTATTTAATGCTGTGAATCATTCCACGAAGAGCATAACATGCAAATCGAGCATGCAGAGTCACTGTAAATACCGCAGAAATTGGCCCCCTCCCGAATCAGGCAGAAAGTGCGATACCTTCCACGGCGTCCAGTGGCCTACCTCCCAACTTGTAGTCAGAGGATGTACACGTTTCCTCGTCTTAACGACCCAAGTATTGGATCTCCGATGAAGCGAAGCTGTGAGCCTCGAAGCTGCGAAATCACAAAGCGCCATGGCACACCAGCGCTCCGGATATGACACCACCGACAGAAGTCGAGAACCAGGGTAGAATCCTTTTTTGTATTGCCTGACTTTCCAGGGCTCGGGCAGGCCCAAGATTCACCCAAGTGTCGCACAGTAGTGCGTTCTTTGCTTGGCAGTGTTTCGCAGCTTCGCAGTGCTTCGCCGCGCCAGTCGATCTTGAGAACGCCCTCATACCAACTCCAGATTCGTTCGTTGAATTGTGAAGACAACACATGTGGAAAGCGTACCAGGTCGCCTTGTTGCAACTCCTACATCAGTGCAGGAGATCCGACCGAAGATCGAACGAGCAATTCTGTGAATGCATGATCGACAAAAGATCCCAATGAGTCAATCCGTGTTGACCGCAACACCCAACATTGGACAAGTCTCCAAGAAGCCACTAGCGAGGCTCTTCGGTGCCGGAGGCACTCTGGGAGACTCTGTGGGCGCCTCAAATTGGCTCGCAACATTGAGACTCATGTAGGTTTCGCACGTGGTTTGTCAGGCGCCTGTAACGCGGCCGTCACCGACCGCCACCAACACGGCCGCAGCATCTTCGTCGTCTCCACGCGACAGCTGAGAGCAAGGGCCCTTTACCGGAATGGCGGTGAAATGCAAGAAGATGCATGTGTTGAGTTCAGTGTGGCTGCGATTTGTCTACTCTACAGCTGCCCAGATCGGTCTTGAATATCTGCCGGCGGGTTGCAGCCCGAACCCGAGCTAGGGTAAGCATGAGCACAACCATTGGGGTATAAGCATGGTCCCTCAAAGACCGTGTCCCGTCACATCCCGTCACTGAGGTTCTGCGTCGCCATGGCTTGAAAACGTGATCCGAAGTTTCTCGTGTCATGTTCGTGGCCACAGCCGACCGCCTGCGCCAGCTCACCGAATCTCTTGCACCTAAGGAAGGCACAAAACGACCAAGACAGTACGGTGACCCAAGTCTTGGAGCTGCGTGCTGTGAAACGGCGGCCAAAGACTTTGTGGCAACGACAAATGCAGGTTCTGGTCAACGGCTATTTCAGAGTATTCCAATGTCGGAAAGTGCCGGAGAACCAGACAGCTTCCAAGTTGTTCTGCTCACCGAGCCTGTAGTAACGACGCAGCATTGAATTTGCTGGCTAGATGGAGCTGCAAAACAGCTGGGTCTGATTCACTTGCTCGTGGAGCTTGTGTTGCAGGAAGCAAGACGGGATGTGTCGTGTGGCGTCCACATTTGGCTCCAGATGCACACGTAGCAGGGCTTGTGGCATCGGGGGCCGCTACAAGGACCCCAGGCCGGTTTCACAGGTGGGAACCGAACAAACAGACCTCGAATTTGCACAGGTGATCAGCCATGAGTTTCTCTGTCCTCGAGCAGCTGCGATCGTCGCATGAGGCCTTTCAGCTTTGGTTAGATACCTACTTGTAGGTTGAACATCCCGACCCAGGACATTGAGAACATAGAGAAGGCCATGAGCATGGTTTTGATGGACAAGCACCCGGGCTGAATTGGTGCTTAGTCATGCCACGTGTGAGGCGCGTCGTATCCGTAGCCCCTGCGTGCCACTGCCGAGGCACAAGAACTCAAAGGCAGCAGTGTCATGTGAGCATGCTGGGCACCCAGTTTTGCCGCAGTACTCCACGTCCTTGCTGCGGCCAAAGTAAATGCCAGTGTGTCTACAGTGCAGACGTCCGACGTCCCCTCAACCTCCGTGGCCTGGCTTCCAGAACCACGTTGAATGGAATCCCCTGCGTGGGAGCTCGAATCAGCCTATCGTCTCCACGAGGGGGCAACTTGCCCCTACCGCGCGCATCAAACAGCTTCGAGACGAGCATGTGGCGAAAGCGTGAGCCGTTGCATGCTACTGCACGAGGCGCTGAAGTACTTGGTAGAAGCGACCCAGCTGAAATGCAAGACGGCCATCGACATCTACCAGGCAGATGCACTCTATCTTGTCGACCTGTCATCATGCCACCCGCCTTGGTCTCGGCTGTCTTCCGTTGCTTTGAGCATGTGCAGGATAAGGATGGCATGCGAACCGACGACATCAATGCTCTGGCTGGCCAACGTGCAGACAAGAAGGGAGGCACAGCAGCATAGAAGTCTCTCTACAGCTGGGCGGTTGCTTGCATACTGTCTTCTGCATGCATGTTGCACGCAGTGAAGATCTGGCCGGATTTCATGGCAGGTGATGTGTGGACTAGCTTCTACGACAAGGTCAAAGAAGTGAAGGACTGGAGCGTCCAGCAAGGAAACTAAAGAAGCTATGGAAGTGTATCTCTTGCATCGAGTGGACTCAGGACTACCACCGACGCTTCTCTGTCAATCAGGGCTTGCCCGAAGTGCAGAACTCCGAGTGGCTTATGGCTGAGTCTTGCCGTCTCGTCGCAGCGCCGCTGTTCGTCAGAGTCCCGGCAGATTTGCGACTGGAGGTTCTACCAGCGAGCCCTTGAGAACGACAAGACGGAGTCGCTCTTCTCGGGCGAGGAGGACTACGGAAAGCGCAGGGCTCCCAGACACTCGAGAGACCAGCGCACCTGTGGATGTTGCCACCATGGGTTGAGGGATCTCCCTTTCTTTCTGCAGGTGTAGACATGCACGAACTCTTTGTCACGTACCTCAACCTGAAGAAGATCTCCACTCAGAGGCAGCATTCTGAGCTCGTGTGCAGGGACCATTTTATAAGCGTTCGTCCGTCTTCTGCAAGGCGGAACAACTTCAGAGCAGCGACGTACACGCGGCTGAAGAAGAAGACCGTCGATCTGGAGCCTGATGATCCAGAGGTGGACAAGCGACTTGGCTTTAGACAGCAGGACAACACCTCACTGTTGCTGTCGCCGTTCGCATTGAGGACGGTAGAGAAAGAGTACCACGAGCTGGACTACATAGAGTGGCTGAAGACCTTTGATCAGTTCCACGAGATCAGCAGATACTGCAAGTACGGTGGCTTGGCAGCTGCTGTGAGTTAGCGCAGGTCCGGATGATCCAGGGGAAGCTTGTACGGTCTTTGCCACATGGAAACACTGTGTCAGCTTTCATCCAGAAATTGAGGTGAAAAGAACTACTCGGTGGGGGCCCAGTCGGTCAGTGAGAGCAAAGGAGGGCACTGTTCGGTTTCTAGAGTTGTGTGCGACAACGAAGCCCGGATACCAAGGAATACTTGGAGGGGCTCATCTCCTACTTGCGAGGTTTCCTCCTAAGGACACAGCCCTTGGCCTGGGGCCAAGAAGCGACCAAAAGGCAGCAGGCAGCCGAGTGCATCGCAATGCACTGAATGCGTACGTGGTCTCTCAGATCGATGTCACCAAGCTGGAACAGCAGTTCGAGAAGGAGCTGCCAACCACGGGTAGCTTTTGGTTGCCATGTTGATCTTCGTACAGATACCTTGGCCCGGCGAAGAAAACACCCACGAAAAGTCTGTGTAGAGGGGAATCGATCTCTCGCACGTGGACTCCTGACGTACTCCGCAGAAAGGATTCGCTGCTGCCGCTCATGCCACGCAGGAGTTCGAAGAGCGATGGGGCGACAAGAGCATCCCGGGATGGCAGGAGGCAACCCACAAGGAGCTTTGGGCACTCTTTCAGCCTGGCAGGTTCTGCAAGTTGCATACTGACGGCGCAGTATTTTGGCAGCGGGGATTTCGTCACAAGCCTTCAAGTCTACAAGCTAGAATGCTGAGTACCCGTGTCCTTCCGGTGCGGTCTTCATGCAGGACAAGCTCTTCTGCATGCCGACAAACAAGCTCTTCAACAAGGACGTCATCAAGACCCACCACGAGCGACTCGGCTCAGCGAGTGGGTGGGTCCCAGACTCCGACGCAGTGTCGGTAAAGCCTCTCTGCACACTGAGGGGTGGAAAGAATTATAAGAGAAAGCTCGCCGAGATGCCTGGCTGCCATCCTTGACTGCTGGCTGTCGGCACGACATGGTCCGGAAGCGTCCTTGCCAGCTGTCATGGTGGCCCGAGATCGCATGAGAACCCCTCCGACCCTTCAGTTCTTCTGGGGATTCAAGACTCGTGCAGCTGCGGCAACTGAGCTGGGCTAGACACCCGAACCAAGTCGAAACAGTCTGAAAGGAGCCCCTCCCATGATGTGAATTCCCGCGTGAATTAGACGTGGATCTTATGCGGCGGCTCTTGCCCCTCCTTGTGCTTGTGGCCTGCTGCTTGGCACCGGCATGGGTCAGCGTCGGTGATCGAGGCAGCTTGCACGTGTGACAAACATGCCCTGAAGAGAGCGGCTCCGGCATCTGTGGAGGCAGCCGACATCCTGTGCGACGATGTGCTGTTGACAACGAGGTGCGCAGGATGGCTTCGGCAGTGATGCGTAGGACATACAATAAGGACGTGTATTCAGCATTGAGTTCAGTCAATGAGATCTCCAAGGCTGCCGTGCAGGCCATCTCTCGGAATGATCTGCGCAGCTTGCATGATTTCTGTGACCTCAATCAAGTTTTTGACCAGAGAATCCTGTGTCTCGATGCCTTCATCGGCCTGTTGTGTCTGTGTCAGCTTCCAAGCCGAGAGGCACGAGGGTCTTGACAACTTGACAGCTGAGGAAAAATCATCGTGCGTGGCGGAACCCTCACCCTCGCTGCCTCGCTGTTTGTGCCAGAGGCGCGTCTAATAGGTAGCTGCTCTTGCTTTCAGACTTGGCCTCACGCCTCGCCAGCCGATCGATGTATACAGCTCCAAGCATTCATCCTAGCAAGTGCTTCGAAGTGTTGGGAGGTCCGCAAGATGGACGGCTATCTGTGGTACATTGCCCAGGTAAGGTGCTTTAGAAAGCTGAGGGGGCATGCTGCAGCAGAGAGATCCTTTCCAGTTGCAGGTGGACAGGTTCAATCCCGACAACACACCTAACCTGCCCGAAGCCGAGCTGATGGCGAAAGCCGGTGAGATAGCAAAGCAGGCGGGTTTTCTCTCGCTCGCGGCAAGCCGGAAGCGCGTAAAGGGCGAAAGAGCACTAAGAGCACATTTCAGTGGAACCCGGAAGGCTGGCGACGGCCTTGCTGTGGACCTGGGTGCAGGCAGCGGCAATGACCTGCGGTACCTGCAGGCAGCTCTTCTCGTGGCAAAACGGGCAACCGTTTGCCGCAGCTGAAGCCAGGCTACAGGTCTTCAACCTCTGCGAGTGCTTGGCGTGGAGCCAAACCGTTTCACGTGGCCCCAGGCAGAGTCACAGGCTACTCGGCAGCCGTTTTACTGACCTGAAGCTCCTTGCAAGAGATTGACTCATGAGGCACAAGATGTGGCCACAGAGTCCGGTGTCCAACTCGACATCAGCTTCGCAGCAGACATCTCTGAGGCTTGCATCAGTCACGAGGCATGAGTCTGTGAGGCCAGGCAACACTCAGGATTGACTTGAGATATTGGAAAAAGCAGTTGAGAAGTTCCGGTAGATTTCCACGAGGCATTGCAAGGACAAGCCGTAACTGCCAGGTCCCCTCCGAGAGTGCTTCACTCCTTCTGGGCAAGCGAGCACCCTGACAGGGAAGGATGGCTAGAAGGATGGTGCATGTTGCATCGCTGCATCTCACAATGCCATTCTTATTTTCAGTTCCAAATCAGGTGCTCTGTTCTGTGGATGATGAGCTGGCCACCGTGAAGCAGATTTTCCGTGTCCTGAAGCCAGGTGCCTCTCTGTCGGGACGGAGCCACCGTGTAGAAACAAAATAACACACACACACACACAGTGTCCTCAGCCATGCTGCACACCTACGATTGCCTCGAGCAGTGTACATAGGTCAGCATCAGCCTGAATCGCACGGTCTCCATGACTTCGGATTAAGTGGTGACCGGGCAAGAGGAGTGAACAGAACATCTCTTGCCCCCTCCAGCCCTGAGAAGGTGGGGTCTTCGTGTTCATCGAGCACGTGGCGGCAGAGCCGGGATCCGACCTGCGCACCGTTCAGGTCAGCGTGGTGTTATTTCAGACGAACCAACTTCTACCAATAACTATAGGACAGAAACATGCGCAAGAAGACACACTGAGCTTGTTGTTCCGTAGTATCTTGTCGCTGAGTACAGTCACTCTAATCGGGCATGGAGATATCCAGCGCACCAGCATCTGGCCAAAGGTAACGATGTGGAGGAATTCCTCATAGTGGGCCCGACATAGTGGGCCCGAAACGCGGCACGTTCTGCCCCTTCTGTTTTACATGGCTGCTGCAAGGACGTTTTCCGGCCGGTGCAGCTGGCCTTTGCGAACAATTGTGACATGGTGCGTAGCTCGCCATTTCATTTTAGCCCAGCCGAGTCGCACACGCCGAAAACATCCGGGGAGCCCTCCCAAGACCTTCCGGGCCCTGGGCATAGTACATCATAATACTCCCGAGGTGACACGGAGAGCATCCTTCGCACTCTTCCCTGGTCACGTTTGGAGCTGGAGAATTACGATGAAGCCTGGAATGGGCCGTTGAGCCCGCTGCTCGACGTGGCTTTGAGAACCAGGGCCGTGCAAGGGAGGTTTGAATTTTGGGTTTCGGTGTCGATGGTGGGAAGGGTAGCGGAGTAATTATTGTCAAACGCGATTCAGCTTAGCTTGCTCGGTGACATGTGCCGGCGTTGCTGTGTCCTGGACTCAGTCGGGGGGTGAATGCAGGGTTTCAAGGTTTGCATGGCTTCCAAGGCACATCCGTGGCATCGCGGTGAAGCCACTTGCGTCCGCCTAGACTCAGACTTCCGCCACAAGCTGGGAAAAAAGCAGCGTGAGAATATTTGTAGACTTGCAGGCAGCTGCAGCCGGCCCATTCTGCGCTTATGCTGTATGCTGCACTGTCTGCTCGTTTGTGTGTGTCTGTCTGTGTACTGTCCTGTGCACGCAACGACGTTTGCCGGCACGTCACTACTGTACTTTTCAGGCACTCGGCATCCATAGCCTGTCGTATGGATGGGATATCCGGATTGATCATCCAGACCTGTTAGCGTTTTCTCCAGCCGGCACCCATGACAGAGTCGCAAGCTTCTTACCAACATGAAGCAGGAGCCACATAGTCAAGTACAGACATGACATGAGGCCTTTAGTCACTTGTCGATCAACTGGCAGGTGTGCGCGCGTGTGTGTGTGTGTGGATATGCGCTGTGTGTCTGTGGCATGTGCAGTGACAGCTGCTTTCCGAAAAGCACAGGAACATTTTACGCAGAACGACGAACAAGGGCTCATCCGTGCATTTAGAATTAGCGAACTGCGACGATAATTTTGGTGCATCTGTGTCTGTATGACTCCGAAAGGGATGATGGCAGGCAGCAGCTGAGCGTCGAGAGCCAAAACGAGTTCGTCTCAAAAGTTGAGGAGCAGGCAGACCTGGAGTCAGACCCGCGCCCAAGTTCTGCATCCTTCTCTCCCTTTGTTTCTCCCTGTGAATCTCTCGGTCTCGTCTCCTTCCTGGGCAAACATGTCAGTGAGTACGCCAGGACAAAGCAATAGCCCGTCTGGAAAGCCGAGCAGCAAAGTGGCACGACCTCTTGAGCGATGCCATCAACGAGCTGGGCCCTCGCATGCCAAAGCTTGCCTAGCGAGGACGAATCGGAGTGTGCATGGCTGTGCATAGCCAGTGTTCACTAGAGAATAACTTGTTCGTAGGGTGGAAGCTTGGACATCCGTACATGATCAACATTCGTGGTCCGTCATCATCCGCAAGCCAAATATCATGGGTAGCTCAGCAGCCTGTTCAACACTGAAGCGGTGATGCTCACATTAGCGGCTAAGGACCATTCAGCACCTGCAGAAGAAGCAGAGTCAGACCATCGAGGATTGAGATCTGAGATCTTCAGTGGGTCTGCTGATGTTGTTCAGGGCGCTTATTGAGCTTGTGCTCAGGAGATGGAGCTCGAGAAAGATGAATCTGACGAGGATGAAGACATGGAGGACGACGGTGCTGACGCCCCTTGCATGCTAAGACATGTGCATCAGCGCTTGCAACCTGGGGCGTTTAAACGAGCACTCCGCATTCGGCACCTTCATCTTCTTAGCTCAGGTGGCCTCCAACGCTGGAGACGACGAGGTCAGGGCCCATTCTGGCAGGGCACGAGTAAGTGCGAGTGATGACGTGGGAATGCCACCTCCATGCCGTCTGCATCTGGGAAATAGGCTTGCATCGCAAGCACCAGGAGCGACCCATCTACAACCCGCTCAACTTGCCGCTAGGCGGGGGCCACAGCTGTGCATGTACGCCAGCTGAAGGGTGTAGAGTGGTATCTGTAGCTGGCACAGTTTGCTGTCGCAGGTTGGGATGGCAAGCCGATTCCGTTCTGGCTGTACAAACTTCACGGAATGGGCCGGGAGCCGAGAGTCACAAGCATGCTTAGCGAGCACGGTCACACCGCCCCTCTAAGCAGAAATAGACATTGTCGAACACGTCGGGGAAGGGGAGCAGCGAAACAACTGAATGCAACCCGTCCTGCCAATGAAGAACCTCAGTTGAAGCGGGACCCGACAGCAGAAACCAGCCTTGGGCGAGATGCGCAGCGTGGGAGCATGAAGCAATGAAGCCCAATCGTGTCCTGTTGGACAACCGCACCTGCGACGAGATGGTCAAAGCATTTGTGTTTCAGGCTTCCATTAATAATTAGCAAGCAATCGGTCCCGGAATCCGCGTTGCAACCGTCCTTGATTCTTGAGTCTGGGTTGTGCTGTGTTTGGAGTGGTTTGTGACAGCCTTTAACTTTCACTTGAGCTCTTCCTCCATCCTGTTAACACGTCTTCCCATCGCATAAGTCATGGCCGTCGTGCTGGCATGCGGTCATGTTTCCTTCTTGTTTGGCAAACCTCAGTTTTTGGCGTCCAGCATTAGAGTCACGAGAAAGCTGTCTTACAGGATCGGTGGAACCTGGTGTACTGCAGCAATACAAAGCGCCGTCACCTTCCGAGGCATTGAGTACAAGTGCGAAATCTGCCAGGATCTTACGCTTGCCTCCGAAGCCGAGGCCTCAATCAAGGCATAGAAACCGCAAGCACTCAGGCGGGAACTACTCCTATTGGGGTCGGAGGGCATTTGAGAGGCACTTCCAGGACGGCCCTGCGTCCCGCGTCGCTCGAGCCTCTGGCATTCAGTTCGAGCTGAGATGAGCTTGGCAGGAGTGGAGACATGCCTTCGGCATGCGATGCCTGAAGATCCCGAACACAGCACACTTCAAAGAGATCACGAAGATCGAGGACTTAGCTCTGCATGGTATCTCAAGGGTCATGACATCTCACTGCTTGCATTCATGGTTCTTCGCAAGAACGTGCGGGTGCTGCTCGGCGCTTGAGGAAGCCATCACGCTCTACGAGAAACTGAAGCGCGACGCTGAGGAACAGACTTTCCGACCCGAGCAGGCCGGCAGGGAGTTCTTTTTCTCAGAGGGAGAATTCTGGAGATGAAGTGAGATGCAGGATGTCGAATGCGAAGACATCCAGGGCAACGTGATGAGCCAGCGAGCCTTCGAGGTGGCGGAGTTGTGGTAGCCTGTGTAGGCCAGTGTGATCTACATGGCAACCTGCGACAGGACTTGCGAAGGCAAGGGCTGGTCTGAAGTAGTGTCTGCGGCTCAGCTGTCCGAGACAGCTCCGGGCATCTGCCGCAGTTGGCTCCTGAGGCTTGCTGCAAAGTGCTGCGATGTCTGCGCGGACGCATGTGGACGAAGAGAGTTGCTACCGTAAGAGTTCGGAGGGCACAGCCCTTAACAGGGAGAGCAGCACGGGCAGCGCAAAAAGATCCCAATGTCATTGCGTCTTTGTGACCATGACTGCTATTTCAGGGCCTCTTTGCAAGCCAAGTCCAGTTTAAGTTGAAGATCTTTCAGCAACGTGTGGTTGAACGTCCAAGGATCCAACTCGTCGTAAACGCTTTGATTTGGATGAGGCTAGCCGACATTTACAACGCAACTCGAACTGCCACCGTGCCTCGAATCATGACTCATCATCCATCCATCCCTCCCAACCTCCCTCCTCCCTCCCTCCCTCCC